ACTACTACTACTACTACTACTACTACTACTACTACTACTACTACTACCCCGTGGAAAACCAACATGGACCTCCACCTCAGAAAATTGGACATGTCAGAAAAAACAAAAACAAAAACACAGGTGGGGAAACCTTCACGGTATCTCAAGTGTTTGGGGACTGAGACCCTGACAATCTGGTCTTTCCAGCAACACAGCTCGTGGCAATTTTATAAAAACATATAAACATATTACATACTTAGTGGGGCGGATTCCAAAGACAACTTGTTTTCTGGGATCCAAAGACTCTTCGTACAACATGGTAAAACAGTCGCCATGATAGGTTGATTCTGTCCTTTACCCCAAGCCTCCCGCCCGGGTGCCGTTGGAGCCCCTGGCTGGCCTCCAAAAGCTTCGCTGTCCTCTGGTGAACTCTTTTGCTACTTCTGTGTACTTCTCTTGGGATTCTCTTGACCATGATTCTGTCGACGAAATAGTGGTTTGGGCGGATTCCACCTCCAACAAACTATAGTATTACAGTACAAGTAGGTTGTTGTGCATGTCATTGCAAACCACGGCCAGCCCCCTTCACCACCTGAACTTCTACGAGTCGCAGGCCTAGCAGTAGCAACCAACAGGACCTTCTCACGCGTGTGTCCATTTTTCCTCGCCCTAGGCGAAAACAGCCAGGCGAAGACAGCGCGCAATCCGTTCCCAGCGAGGTGCTAATAAGCAAAAGCGATGTCTTCTCAGTCAAAAATGTCAGAGCTATGTCAGAGCTATATACAGTAGCCATGGTTCTATATTCAGTCTCTCTTGAGGGACTTATCCAAGATTATCCCGTGTACTGTGCTGATCTGTGTCTGTTCACTCCCTCTCTATAGATAGTCTATATGGATGTGGCACTGCTGATAATATTGAAGCCTGAAACCAACCATCTTGCTTGACTTGCACAACGTCACTCCCATCACCTGCTCTGGCCGTACATAGCTCGAGCTTAAAAACTGCAGTGAACGTTTGCACGCTTGCTCGAACTCATCATGCATCGTCTGCATCGTCTATGGCTGGAATATCCTGGCGTAGGACCTGCCTATCTTCATGTCTCTTGGTGTCAAAAAATGTCAACGGGAATGATTAGAGTCCTCCCTCCCACGCCTCCTGGCCAGTCAATGTTCATACTGTGGAGGTCCTAATTCTGAAACAAGCACAACCGGTCTACCCGTCTGAGGAATATCCACCACTCATGACCTGAGCCCGAGTAGAGATTGGTGCCTTGGCCAGCACCTCTGGATGTTTCTCTCGATCTTTGGCATGGTCCACAAAGCCGTGCCTCCAGAGCAGTGATCTGGCCACTTGAAATAGCTGGCGGGGGTGGCTGGACAATACTCTAGAAATCTCTAAAAGCACAGATCAGCATTCCTGGACTGATCCCAAAGTACCAAATACCGCTGGGAGAATCAAAGAAAATAGTTACTTTGATTCTGCAACCCTGAACTCATAGAGTCATAGACGGTGCTTCTTCTTCAGGGAAAATTGTTCATGGTGTCATGTTAACATATTCCAGCATGTGACTATTTGCTCAGAAACACTCTGCAGCAGCATACACCGTGACTGGACGTGGATGCCCAGCCAAGACCTGGAATTTGATTCACTCTACTCAGCAAGACGATTGAATGTCCAGTTGCATCCAGTTGCTGTATATTTAACTATTTATACTGATACTATTCGGATGTTCCTTGCCCAACATCTGAAAGTACAATCAGTGCTTGTGACTTAAACAAAGTAAGACTAGATTCATACAACCAACATCCATCGCGCTCAGAGCTCCACGGTTCGAGTGCCACGAGCATGAGCACTGAGTACTCGTACCACACGAGAGCTGAACTTTTGCTTACTGAAGATGTTAATGTAGATAACAAAAAACACAATATAAAAGAACAAACATTTGGTTGGCTGCCTGACAAGAAACCTTGAAAGACTGTCTTGCCCGTTTGAAATGGTGCAGAAGTTCTTCCGGAAGGTTTACTTGGGCCTCGAAAAAAACAAAAAAACAAACTCTGCCACCAGGACCATGAAAGTTTGAGGTTCAAACTCGCACGTTCTCTTGTCCCAAACCCTTCCGACAGTTGATCGCCACCCGCCGGCCACGACCCTCGACCTTCCCCTTCGCGGCCCCATTGACGCCCACCCATCGGTCCGTGCGTGGTAACGGCTCGTCTGCGCGCCGTTCGAAGGTCGAACCATAGTCGATGATTTCGATCAGCTTGCTGGGGTCCTGCAGACGGATCCCTCCGAGCTTCTTCGACAAACGGAATCAACCGAGGTTTGGTGCGGAGCGGAACCGTCTGACCGTGGCACGAACGGCGTGGCGTTCCGCGGAAGAACACGGAACGCCGTGGAAACGAACACCGCGGTCTTTGAAGAATGTGACTCACCGTCGTGGAAAAGGAGGGCCAAAGTTGCTTTGCATGCCATAGCGAGGTTGTGGGACAAAGGCAGCCAAAGCTTCTTGTGCAAAGCAAAACAGCAAAAGCAGCCCACCAACTCAGCCACAAAAGGGTTTTGCTAAGTGCAAGTTGATGCAAATTCTGTCGGTATTGATTTGAGAGCACTTTGCTGTTTTAAGGCCCGCCTCTTCTCTGAGGCGTGTGCATGTCCACACCTGTTTCAAAGGAATTTCAACAAGGCAGGGGAAACGGCGCGAATCAAAAAAGAGGCAGGGGGGCAACGGCCAGTCTTCTTACGTTGCCCAACGAAGCTACAGAAGACTGGTGGAAGCATTCAGTGACGCCTGAATGTGTACCTGCTAATTGTTTAAACCGAATCCTCCTGTTTCACCCATGTTCAAACATTCAACTCTCCGACTCAGCACTTCTTGCTGTTGAATCAAGTCAAGGTCTACAATGCAGCTGGTATTGTAATCGCTAAAGTGGGACTTCATTCAGATCCTAGCTCTTGCGAGCAACCATCTAAGTGTGTACTCGCCCCAGAGTCCCACTGAGGGCTGTGGTGTGATCCCCATCGAGGGGCACTGCATGTGCATAGACCCAGACCCTGGGAAATTGCTTCCACCTTGGCATTTCGTTCGATTTCTTCCGGCTTGACTGTCTTTGCTCGATATCACTGATACTATGCCGCAGGGCTCACTGAGACTCAAACTCCAATCCGGATTTGCACTTTCATGCATGTGTCTAAGTATTCACCTGTACAGTCTGCACGTCTAAGTAATCACAGGCGGGGCTTAGGACTCAGGCATGTCAAACCACAGACTGCTTTTTGTTGCATGTGCTTTTCATGCTCTTGGGTTCTTTCTCTCTTTCTGTTGCTGTTCGTTTCTTGAGGCCTTTCTTTAGGTTTCAGGTGCCTTTCAGACAAGGGTGCACCGGCCCAAATCGGCTTTACTTGAACGTCAGTGATGACAATGCCTTCGGGCCACCCCTCCCTGTTGCTATCCCACCCGCTATCTAGGGTTATAGAAGGAAATCGCACTCAACACACTTGTGTGTTGGTGCCTTTCCTTCTATTTCTCCTGTCCTACTTCTAGCTACCCGGGCGGTATAAGACAAAAGTCCTGCTCGCTAGCTTTTGCACGTATTGTAACTAACAGACCTCATAACTAGTGGGCCTCGTAACTACACCAATCTTTCTCTCCTGCCCTCT